ATAATTAATAAAGTAACATTTATAGTGGTCCTTATTGTATCCGATGCTGTTGGCTTTAGGTTAACTGCAATCACCCCATTGGAACCCGGGTTAGAAAAGGCACCCATCGTTTTCTAGCATGTCGCAAGAGGCAATTTGAACTACATTGTTAGTCGGGTCATGACCAGTTGTCCGGCTCGGTGAATTGGTTAACTACCGTGTTTCCGTCAATTGGAGGTCCGGCGTCTATTGGAGGCCCGGCTTCTATTAATACCCCGGAAGAGAGAGGGAGTCCTCATTATGTAATTTAGGTCCCAAAAAGGGGTCATTAATTGTATCAGTTGATCGACCCGGCGTCTATTAGAGGCCCGGCTTCTATTTTTTGCGCTGAACAATTGACCCGGCTTCTATTAGAGGCCGGCGTCTATTAAAGGCCCGGCATCTAATAGAGGAAATACGGTACTTAACTTCTTCACATCGTGCCCCGACGTTGCTCAATAAGACGTTTATCAATCACTGGTATATGTTCCAATTTGCAGGCCGTCGTTAAGGAGCTGTAATATTCTTGCCGCTGCGCAATTAAAAACAAACACACATATTCTCCCTTATCTCTGATCTTCATTGTTTTTTTGTAGATGGGCCATAGAAATGGCTGTATTGATGCTATCTGAATGCATCGGTTAACAGTCACGTATAACACGTTTCATATGTAATTGTGTCTGATGATCAATAAATTCATGATGAAGTGTCTTTGCCGTTACAATGGCGTGTTTTTGTCAAAATACTTCAAGGGCGTCGACGCCTTGTTCATCGTGGTGTCGGTAACACTGAAATGTGCCAGAAGGTTCTCAAGTTGTTATTTTAAATTGCCTCTTGTCTATGTTATTGATGAAGTTAATGACGAACCAATATTAGAATAGATATGAGCGCATCGGAAATTCATGGATACATTCATTTAGAATATTGAATTTAACATTTAAACAAGCATCACGGTACTGTCACATTGATCGCGAGAATAGTTTAAGGCATTGGTGTTTATAGAGACATTAAGGATTTATTTTATCTCAACGAGAATATGGTGCTTTTCCTTTTTCTGTACAGTTTGAAATGTACGGTTCTACGTCATTTCAGGAAAGTAAAACATAAGGATCCCGAGTAAGAATAGACGAACCTATGCTGCTTGTCGTAAGAGGAGACTAATGGGATCGGTGGTCAGGCTCGCTGACTTGGTTGATGTATGCCATCGGATATCAAATTCGAAGATCGATGCCCATGATGTCAATGGCAGGATCGTCTGGTGCAGACCCGAATATTGCTGTGTGTGGCTTTAAACAACAAACAAACATTTCAGGAAAGAACAAACGACAAATATTTACTTAAGCGTTAAAAGGTTCTTGTAAGAATTGGCTGGGATGGACAAAAATGCATTACCCTTTGTTTGTCATTGTGGGAAACTGTTTCATACACATGCCTGAATTCAACGTACCTTTAGAAAAATACTTAATATTTTGCTTAACTATACTCATTAATACAACACATTTCCCGCTAAACCAAAATTAAAAACACACTTTGAACAAATTAATAATTGAATGTATTTCCCATTCGAGTAACCAGAAGTCCATTTACCACAAATGATCATCGTCAAAGAACACGATGCGTAAAAATCACTACAACATGTCTGTTCTCTCGTTGGAAGGAGTAACATATTAAGAAGAGGTACTTAATTATTTACCTATGTAAGCAATTGATTTCGTGGTACTAATAAGTAACAATTGATGTGTGAAAAGTACATATTGATTATCTTGGTGATGAAAGCGGCAGTGAAATGGCCTCAACATACCTCATGTGACATGTACCATGGTTTTCTTATAACGATATAAAGATGGCTTTTTGCTGACCACAACATTACAGACAGTAGGGTAGTGTTCGGTTCTCGCCAACATGCCGGCATGATCTAGTATAGTGTATGAATAATGTACTAATGTACTCCAAACTATCATAAGGCACCAGTTTACCACTAGGCCTGTCTTTGAGTCAAGTTTGGGGAAGAAATATTCTACGGTTTTCAAGATCTGCTCTAGAAGGGAGCACTACCGTCATTTCGAATCTAAGTCAAAGTCGTTGCTATAGAAACTCGAAAGATAATCTTTTCAAAAAACCCAAACTATCAAAAGGCACCAGTTAACCACTTGACCTATCCATGTGCCAATGTTGGTTAAGATATCTCTCATGTATTTTTAGTTCTGTTAAGGAAACAAAACGTGACGGGCGGACAGCACCCGTTCCTATACCTCCTTCAACTACGCGGCGGTGGGTAATTATACTGGTGCACTCATGAGTGTGTCAGGAGATAAACGGACAGACAATCCAGTGATTGATATCATGAGCATCGATCCACGCAATAGGGATACGATGACATGCATCAACCAAGTCAGCGAGCCTGACCACCCGATCCGATCCGATAAGTGATGCCTGTATGATTTGAACATGTCTGATAATAATTCGCATACCAACACGATAAAGATTTCCTATACTTAATAAAGTAACATTTATAGTGGTCCTTATTGTATCCAATGCTGTTGGCATTAGGTTACCTGCAATCACCCCGTTGGAACCCGGGTTAGAAAAGGCACCCATCGTTTGAACTACATTGTAAACAACTATGACAAAATTCAGTGCAAACTGTTTTGGGTCCGCGGAGATACTGAGTGAAGCGGCGTGGATTTTCAGTGCATTGTTTAAATGGGTTGTCGATTTCAGTGCAGGAAACACCACGAAAAACCTTTCGTCAAACACTGGCGCTTTATGCTTGAAAGTACAGTAAATAAGCTTTACAAGGTTTAGTTCTACAACGCACGTCACTATGATGACCTCACGCTGATCGTTGTGGGGCGGAAAATATGGCGTCATTATCGGCTATAGAAAAACGCCAAATTTCAATTCCCTGATGTCTCTAATACCCTGTTCTCATGCCAAAATATACACATTTGCATATTTTTACATACGGAGTAAATTTGCACATATAAGCAAAAGGAAAAATACTTTGTGTTCACATGAAGAAAGTGCTCTGTGTGCAATATATAATTTATTTCCTGATGTAAGTTTCAGAGAAGTTCAGTCTCTACAACTCATTCACTCACTCGCTCTTAAACCCAAGATGAACAGGCTACTTGTGACTTACTCATGAAAGAAAAGTGTGGGTAAAACAGGCGTCCAGAGCCTGGTGGAATGGTATCGTGAAAGGAAAGTTTGACAAAGAAAACATTTAACTTCCTTTCTCAGGAACCGCAGGAATCCCTGTCCAATGTGTCTGGACCAGTTAGGGAACGTTTGGACATTGGCCATAAAGTAGCTAACCATACTTGTGTCCGACAAGGAGATGAGCGCCCTTATGGGTGAAAAATCACATTTTGATTTCCCATTATATTTTGAAAAACACATTATATTGGGAACACTAAAATAGAATTCACAAATTTCAATTCATATTTATTACAGAGTTACATGGCATCAAATATATAGACTCATTTTCAGATCTACAACTGTTTATGTATTAATTGCAGTTTTAAGATATTATGTCAGATGAATTGAATGTAGACATGAATGCGGAAATGTTTTGAATAATGTTTCTATAACATTCTTTTATACAGTCCGCACGCGATTTTAAGTGAGTTGACCTCAAACTTCTTTCGTAATGACGTCCCAGCACAATTGTATCCTAGCACCGATAATGATTTCATTTATTAATATGAATTAATGACCTGAGTACCTGGGCCTTTGAACTAATCCGATGTCTTCATCGTGGCATCTGATCCTTGAGCTTGTTTTGACTGTTTAAACAGGATTACTGTTATAATCCACTTTTGACAGGTCTACTCATCTTAAAAGTTTTGTAAGTGTGTATACATTACCTTACCTGATATAATCCAATCTGAGCATTTTAACAGGCAGGTCTACACATCTCCAAATTTCTGTAAATGAATATATTCTCGTATACCTTTGTAAGTACTATTATTTCTCTTTACTTTGATCAACGAAATAGCTTTCACAATGTGAACAGGATCAACTCATTTCCAATTTGGGAATAGGTATATATGTTTGTTTTTAAGTTTGTGCCTCAGTCTGAAAATGGCACATCTTCAAAGAGCTGAGATCGTTACTTCACAGAGAGGTGGTCAGCAAGTACTACATGCTGGGTACCGGTAAAGGTTGAATGTCAAGCGGCAACTTGCTGTTTACTGGAAATGTATCACCATTGGCTGCAATGGCAGATGCAGCACCATTGGCGACCACATTACATCAACCAAGCCTCACAGTCATCCACCTACCGGGTTGTAGAACACATCCGCATCATCGCCAGAATGAAGGAGCAAGTAAATACAGACATCATCCCTGTTCAGCAGATCTACAACGCCGAACTCGACCGGGCTGTCGAAGATGTTGCTCCAACGATGCTGTCCTTTTCCAGGCTGATCTCTACCGACACTCCTCTAAGTCAAACCCACCTCTACCAGAATCCCGAGCTGCTGTCGACCTTCAAGAACCCTGGACCAAGACTGAAGATGGAAGAGACTTCCTGTGCATAGATGATGGTGCTGATGACACACTGTTAGTGTTTGTGACAACTGAGGTGTTGGAGATCCTTAGTGAGCAGGACACTATTTTCATGGATGGGACATTTTTCGTGTGCCCTAGCTTGTGGCTCCAGGTGTACACTATACATTGTCTTGTGGATGGCAAGATGTTCCCAGTCGCCTTTTCCCTACTCCCAAACAAGACAGACAGACTACGAAGCCAGATACACTACGAAGCAGCTTTCATCAGTGCCATCAGCTATGTCTTCCCAGCAAGTTCCGTCAGAGGATGTTTTTTTTCCGATATGCCCAGGCTCTGTGGAGACAAGTTGTGGACAGAGGCCTGGCCCGAAACTACACCGACAACCCAGCAGTGCAGACCCACATCAGAAGAGCTGCAGCGTTGCCGCTTCTACCCCTAGCTGAAGTCCAAGATCCTGGATTGAAGTGATGGAGCAGGGACCGGATGGGCAGCAGATCAACGACTACGTCACCAGCACATGGGTGGACTTCAATGCCACATTCCCTCGAGCCCTGTGGAATCAACACGAGAAAACCGGTCCACGCTCCAACAACCATCTTGAAGGTTTCCACAACGGCCTGAAGAAGAGAATGCCGAGAGCCCATCCCAACATTTTCCAGTTTGTCAAAGAACTCAAGAAGATCGGGACAACAGATAGACGGCCAAGAAGGCAGACTGGACTGGGTGGTTCCATGAGACCTCATGCTCGTGTTGACAGAGACCGAGATGCAAGGATCGATCGCGAGAGACTGAAGCAGCAGCTTGCTACTGGCAGAAGATCAGTGATCCAGTTTCTGGATGCAGTTGGACATTTCATCAAGTTACAGTAATTTTGCTAGTAATGATGTAGTGCTAATGGTATAAAACACGAAGATAATGGATATAAATGTACAGTGTTATGACAATACATGTGTATTTATGATATTTGATGTTGTGAAAACATTTAAGTTGTGAAAATGATCTCATATAAAAAATGAAATTACAGTATCAAAAGTCATTCACATCTTGTTATCTTGTTGGAAGATTTCATTTTACTTAAGGGATAAGGGTACATCCATAAATTTGGTTTGATAGTAGTGTAGGCGATATGAAGTGTGGGCCAGGCTGTCATCGATTCTGGTTACTCGACTAATTGCGGACTTTTATTTATGAATCTCTGATAGTTTGAATATTTGTTTCACTCCGTCTACCGTTGCCTTTGATAAGAGGCGATAACAAAACGAGTAGAAGTGTTACATGATTGAGACCGATCTCCCGTGTATAGTTTTTACAATAACAATAACGTAAGAGGTTACTGGAATAAAAGATATCCAACTTTTTGGATCATCATTCCTGTTGTGAAATGTGATAGTCACGTGAACAAGAGAAACTTCTTATCAGTTTCCTGAGATGACCTATGGTGATGGCGTGTGGCAACTGCATCTGATCAAACTGACACATACTTTGTGTGTAATTCTAACTGGCACAGACACATTCACAAATTTAGCCTCTGGTACTGAACGACTGTGCAGATGTATTCAGCGCAGGTGTTCGTAATTCATGACTGCATTATCTGAATAATAGACACTAGGGCCGAAGAAGGTTTTCTGTATCAACTATGACTAAAGTATTTATCAAACTCATCTCATCCGAAGCATGACAAAACACCTGTCAGAATACTACAGAGACCACCATTGCTACTTGGTTAACATAATTAGTCTTGTTGATGCCAATAAAAGGGTCGGGTTCTAATTGTGATGCAAACAGATGATGGTGAAAATGGATACTGTGAATAATTCATTATATTGGAACTGACTGATCATACGTAGTCGTTTCTTTCAACGTCCTTAAGCGTATTCTTCCCTGGAATCTCCAGGGAGTCTATGTTTACTGGGCTTCGTTATTAAACTTTGATATATCCGGACTTTCGGGTTAAACCGGTATGACGGTGTTTGTCTGAACGGGAACGAACCCCCTGACGTGCACAGAATCCTGGATGACACGAACTAAATTATAATTAACATAGGCACATTGTTAAAGACAATGTACCGTAATGGTCCCAGGACCTTTGTACATGTACACCTGTCTACAGTCATACTAATATTTGTGACATGGAAATAGTGTATCTCGCCCACATTCCTCAATACTGATAAATCGAGCTAGTCTGACCTGTCTGAAAATATATGATGTCCCTGGCAAGCAAGTTGAAACATCAGTCATTATGTTATGGTTCAGGGACCTTTGGCTTCAAAACCTTATTTGTAGCGGCTAATGTGTCTTCTTTTCGACGATCGTGTCCAAACATATGTATAATTTATCATGCTAAAACTAATATAAATGCGAACCATCATTACTCTTATGATTTTATGTCTGTTATAAGGGGCTGTCGACAGACCCATAATTGTTATGTACACCCAAAGGACGAGACAATATGTTGAGCAGTCCTGGTCATACGGAAACGTCTGCACGTTTGCGGGTTGTGAGAAGGGGATGAAGGGGGTACATCCTGTTAGTTGGTGGCAGACGACTTTATTAGCAGTCCGTATCTTTCTAATTGGCAAAGTGTTGTGTTAGTTGCCTTCCTTTTATAGCTGTAATACAGTTGTTTGTCTAAAACGTGGTTGTATATTTGCGATGATAGAATTAATTCGTGGTCTGAGTGAGTGCAGACTGGATTTATTGTTTATTGTCAACTACATGTATTAGAAAAATTTGTAGTTATATAATTAGCCCGTGGTATCACTTCTTTTTTATGACACCCCTGATCATTTGAGCACAGCCCCGTGACATCAAGAAACCTTATTCTACCATGACAAACGTTCAAGTCTATGTTCAGTACACCCTCAAATCTCAGGACAGTGAAAACTTGGTTCACGGAGGGCATAGATTTAGAGTTAAGACGACAAATACTGATCGAGTTTACTGGAGATGCTTCATCAAAGATTGTCCAGTTACTGTAAACGTCCACTGTGGACTTATCATCAAGTATACCCGGATCGACAAGTATGCTGCTGACCCACATAAGATGGCTGTTGACAATTGTTTCAGTGCTTTTAAAACTCACCTGTTTTTGCCATATACCAGGAAGAAGGTACAGGTTTGAAAAAAAAATACCTATAGTCAAATTTCGGTATGATCATATTGTAACTCTGATAATGATAATAAAAAGATAACGAATCATCAGTGATTATAAGCCAGGTGCCAGCTCTCTGCAGATGTGTTTCATCAATGTTCCAGGTCTGAGCAACGACCATTCCTCTACTTTCTTATTCTCAAATGATAACATGAAATGTGGATCAAAATCCTATAAATAACCTCTATACTCGTATACTCAATACCTAGAAACGGACTATAGCCTGACCCTGTTGTTGTCACAAGACTGACCATTTAAAGAAGCCGACGGTTTTTATCTGCAAACACCTGGAGTCATCACTAACTTTTCTGTGATCCACTGAGACTATAATGCCTCAAAGCTTGTACGTCCAATGTTTCAGCAAATAATCGAAGGTGTTCTCGGAGGTTAGCGTTTGAAATGTATGGGACTAATGCATCAAGTACATATGATCCTGATATAACAAACAAAAAAACTCTGACTCCTGTCGGCGAACATTTTGTAAAAGTATGTCACCAATACCTACGTCATACATAAAGGGTGTGAAGGTCGGGTGAATATGTTAACACAATCGTTCTTTCCTGTTGTTGACGGTGTCAATATATTTGTGAAGAATTTACATCTATTTTTCGTTTAATCAAATACATGATGGATATATACGACTGTTGAATACATGGTGTACCGTAGTCCACAAAATACACGAAACTTTGAACTAAGGTCTCCTTTTAGAACATGAAATGTCAATGTGTTAAACTTCAGCGGGCACACATTTCGTTTGGGAAAGTCAGCAATTGGACAATAGTAAGTATCCAACATCAATCGATAATTAATTATTTATGCATATGCGTGCGTGTTTAGCCTGCTTACTGTTCGATCTGAAATCATTTCACCTTACAGTGTAGGGTGCTTACACAAGAACTGATGATGACAGGAGCGTTCCTGATTCTGTTTTTTGCAACTCTTGCCGCTTCTGAAACATGTGAATCTCTCCATGCAAAGGAAGTTGATGCATATGATGACAAGAGAATTCCCCAGTCAGTAATGTGGACTTTTAACAATGTGACTAAGGCTGAATGTATGAAGGAGTGTCAAACGGAAAAGTATTGCGTCAGTTTCCACTTCAGTCCATCGGAACCAGTTTGTGTGGCACTACGGGAACGGTTTGAAGGATCCAGCGTTCCCTCCGTCGAGGCCCTTGGCTATCAACTCTTTCAAACCAATAAATGTAAGTTCACACAATGCGAATGTTTTAAGAACATGGAATATAAGGTGACTTAACTGCAGTTTAAGAGCAGATTGGGAAAGGATTAATGCCGTGACAACACGGAGACACATTTGTCGTACAGTCCTAGTTAACCAATAACATTGCTGTGTTATTGTTTCGTTGATCATGATACGTACCATGAAGGGAAATGATATACCGAATGAGGCAGTTCGGATGTGAAGCTCTGCTTGCTATCCGTTGTCTGCGTTGGAGACACTCTAGGATGCTATATTCTCACTACAACATAAATACTGGTAACACGTCCCATTTTAAATCTGGAAACCCAAAAGTCCAGGAACTCTACGGTCTTTTCCCAGTCTCGGTCAAAGATATTTACAGAAATAAGCATGCCGTTTTCATGGGAACATACTAAGGAAGAACAAATGAAAAAAAAAAAGTTCAAAAACTCAATATTTACATCATTTCCCCCATGGGCCTGCCCATGTGCGAGAATATTTTCCTTTACTCAAAACTCATGTTTTTGTTTCGCAAATATTTAACTTGTATTTCATCAAGTATCATATACAAAATTTAAGTTATTTTAACTTAATTCAACGATTTTATAGCGATATTGAAATAGTTCGCCCGCGGGCGAGAAAAGGTTTGGCCCATGGGCGAGAATATTTTTCATTACACAAAACTTATATGTTTGTTTCGCAAATATATTTTAATGCATTCCTTCACGTATCATGACAGAAAATTTAACTAATTTTAACTTAAATTAACGATTTTATAGCGATATTGAAATATTTCGCCCATGGGCGAGAAAAAGGCTTGGCTCATGACTCAACTCATTTTAACTTAACTCAAGTAACTTTTGGCGTTATTAAAATATTTCGCCAATGTTTTCGTAAGTCCCTTTAAAGAATTAACTAATTGTTTACAAAGTATATTGTATCATGTGAAACACACTTTGTATTTATCACTACATTACTATTTTAAAAGGGCCTTTGGTTGGATGTTTCCTTTGCGGAAGGTTTACAGATTTCACCTTTTTCACATATTTCAACGATCTTTAATGACCCCGGCCTTTTCTCTCAGACCGTTTTGACAGTTTATCATACAAATACATGCGCGTGTAAACCAATTCATTGGCGTTTTTTTTTAACGAATTAAAGTTTAGTTCTTTTTCACTTCCCATTTTATGTCTCGTTAATACATCACACTGGGAAATTAAGTGACAATAAATAAGCAATATACAGGTACACGTGCGCGTATTTTAATGGGGAAAAAAACGATTCGTCTTTCATTGCATAACGTCTAGCTGAATATCTCCCATTCTAACGAAATCTCGAAAAAAATATGTCATTATATGCGGTGCGATGTTTACAGGCGATTGAGTGAATATTATGACACTATAGCAACTTTTAAATGTATTGTCACTTTTGGTATGAAAATGGTAACAGTTCAGAAAAAAACCAGCCTTCTTATGATAATTCTCAAATTCTCATTAGTACGATGTATCTAATTACAGTGTCGGCATTATTTACAGGTGATTCTACAATACCTGCTCTCGGTCAATTTCGATCTACCACACCACACATGAATAAACAGTTATGCAGGTGTTGCCGTGGGCAAATACTTAGCCTGTATATGTATATTTTTTTGTGGATACATGTATTACATATTTTCATTGATATGTGGATATATTAAGCACAAAGGCAAAAAAAGTTTATGAAAGAAGAATTAGTGCCTTGATATATTCAACGAGATGTGTATCATCGTTTAATGGGTCATTCAATAAAAGTTTGTTTGGAGGAGATATCAAAGGAGCCGCCCAATATATACAGTGTCGTCCCGTGAACTACCACCCCATCCTGTCCGTAAGAGTTATGTAATCGGTACACAAATATATTTGATGCGGTGTCAGTGTGTATGGAGTTTGAATTACGCCCGCCACTGGCCACAGGGGTAATCCTCAAAGTATAGTAACAATCAACAAGGTCAATGCCGTACAAATTACCTAGTGACGCACGTAACAACGACTGTCAACCTGTCTGCTACAGCTACCATACCATCATCCCTGTCACAACTGGCATATCAACGGCTTATTCAAAATTGTAATTGTAGAAACGTCGTTGAGAGACTAACGTATATGGTATACAGTACTCATATTTGATAAAAAAAAGAGTAAATATGTCAACTGGGAATTCAACTGGGTGTTACCTTCCTTATATCAGCAAACAACCCTGTTTGTGAAAATATGTACTAGACATAAGATTTATAGACTAATAAAATCAATTGTAAGACCGCATAGACCATAAAACCGAATTAAATGTGTCTTGGTATCATCTCTTGTGTATTAGATGATGGCAATGACCTGAAATGTTTTAACGTTAGATTATGAAGGACATTAAAGTGATGTATAATACTTGGGAACATGAACATTAAGATGTAGCAACATAAACATGCATGGAATGGAATAGGGAAAATGGTGAAAACAAATTGAAAAAGATTTTAATACAAAATTATTGATTTAAATAACCCGCCTGAACACGAGGGGTACCCAAACTTGTTTGACAGTTATTCGGGTGTTGTAGACTGTCAAATGGGACTCATGTGTGTATGTAGGGTACACATATCTATTGCAAGTTTTAGTACTCATACACTTTCACTTTTTGTGTTGATATGATTTCTATTTTCGTACATGATATGATTTCATTTTTATCTTTGGCTGCTCTGTTTATATATGTTGGAGTAATTGTCTGTCCCTCATAAATTGACATTGCTGCCTCGGTATTGCATCTCTTGACTACAGGAGATCTACAACATGTAGCGGAACTAACTACAATTCTTGTTTTAACCAAGCCCGGGTTTGACATTCCAGTAACTGGATTCAGGTTGATTGCAAGATATGCATACCTCGTCATAGTGATTGTTGTGAATTCCTTAAAGTTTTGTTTGTTTGTTAGTTGTTTAACGCCGCACTTAGCAATATTTCAGCTATATGACGGCGGTCTGTAAATAATCGAGTCTTGACCAGACAATCCAGTGATTGACATCGTGTGCATCGATCCACGCAAATACGGATACGGTGATATGCATCAACCAGGTCAGCGAACCTGACCACCAGATCCCGGTAGTCGCCTCTTACGACAAGCGCTGTCGCCCTTTTACGCCAGAATGGGTTGTTGAAGATCTGTTCCACCCTGGATCTTCACGGGTCCATTGACACAGGGATTTGCGTAAAGTCATTCCGACAACATACAATGCCTACTCAATGTCTCCTCAAAGTAAGAAAGTACCCAGCTAACACACTACGTTTTCACAACGTTGTGGTAAAGTTGTGAATTGGTAACGTAGTGATACAACGTTGTCACAACGTTATTATTACGTCACTGTGCAACGTCGTTTCACAACGTAATAACAACGTTGCATTTTTACGTTGTGAAAACGTTGTTCATCGAATATTTCCCAACGTCTTGTTACATCGTTCCTGAAACGTTGGTGCGACGTCAACTGTCGCCTTAACAAAAATTGTATGAACAAAAGCTTTACATACAAATCGACACAATTTCTGCCAAAAACAAGGCAGTAATTCATTATTTACCTATATCTTCGGAATCAGGATTTCCATCTCGTAAATAAACTAAAGTCTGTGTAAACACCTTATTATCACGTCACTCCAACGTTATGTGACAACGTAATCACAACGTAGCAAAATTACGTTGTGGAAACGTTGTGCATCGGGCGCCATGCAACGTTATGATGACAACGTTTCTCATACGTTGGTGCGACGTCAAATAGTCTTCATCGCGAAAAGCGTAAAAACAAAGGTGTTTACTCGAAATAAACTACATTTTGGCAGAAAATTACAATAATGTTAGATTTGGTTTTCACTTTTCAGCAACCCGTGCTTGTCGTAAGAGGCGATTAAACAACAAACAATGACAATAACATTTTCGCCATACATGCATGATTCGCACTTCCATCGTTGTTGAAAGGTTGTGGATTGGTAACGTCGTGATATAACGTTGTAACAACGTTATTTTAACGTCGACCTACAACGTTGCACATTCACGTTGTGAAAACGTTGTGCATTGGACATCACACAACGTTTTGTAACTACGTTTCTGAAACGTCGGTGAAACGTTATTGAGTTTGCTTCTCGATAGTCATAAAGGAATAGAACTGCTTTATCAAAATCAACATGAATTTGTCAGAAAACCAAGGTAGTAATGCATTACCTTTCTATATATTCGGCATTTGAATTTTCATCTCTTAATACTAATATTTCGAGAACGTAATTGCGTATATCTGTGACAACGTTACAACAACGTTGCAAATTAACGTTGTGATAACGTTGTGCTTTGGACATTACAGTACTTTTTGTAAATGATGTTTAGGAAACCACTTGTAGACCTACCATCTCTTAGTGTTATTTTTTTTAAACATATATATCTATTAACGAACTAAATGTTGTCACAAGCAATATTACAGTTAAAAACAATTGGCGCGTATTTTTTGCGGCGTGAGAGCGACTGCAGAAAAGTTTAGCCTGTTGCCTCGTGAAGTGACGTCAGAATGACGTCACATTGTCGCGGAAGATTTGTTGTCACCAGCCATCTTAGCTCAAACTCACTCTGGACATAATATATTACAAGCAAGTGATTGTGCAGCAACTGGAACTGGACAGATGATCTGTGAATTCGATTGAGGTAAGTTAATTTTTCAAAAATAGTCTCCGCTTGTTGATATGTTTCTGTGCATGCAGTGCGTCAAATGATCTAAATGTATCGTATTATTCAGAAGTGGCAGGGTTCAGAATGCAGTTTGCCGGTCATTTTCACTGAGCGTCAGTGTTGATATTAATATGATACACAGAACTTGATGATAGAGGTGAAGGGGGCCCAAGACTTTTTTCCATATTATTATTTTATGGATACCAAGGGTAATTGCCAAGGGCAAGCGGTATATTTTTGACAAGAATTCAATCTGGTGGCGTTTTGTGGCCGTCATATTGTGTTCGGGTTTCGTTCGTAAGCGTGTAGATTTGTAAATAGGCCTAACTTATGCATCGCCTACTGACCGCACTGACAGTTATCGCCATTTCTTCTGTGTTATTTCTGAAATCATTACTATTTAAAGTTTACATGTACTAATCTTCTGACTTTGATTTTTGTGCAACAATGTGGCTCATCCAGGCCATGGGAAAGGTTAAGTAGATTTCTCTTATACAGCGAAAAGAGGGAATCAAAACAATGGAAGTATTCAGATCGACTCTCTGTAGGCTGCTAGTTATAGCCCTAGTCTAAAGTGATCAATGATGTTATGAAAAAAATCGTATTTTCGGGAAGAGACAGAAACATACTTGATGTTTCCGAAAAGGCCTAATTAGCACTGACTGAAGTAGCCTAAATGTGGATCATCAGGTTGTTGCTGCTGTCTATAAAGTTTATCATAGCAAGGTGCTTATCATGTGTATTTTTATTATTTCCGAAAAAAGAATCAATTCATCATTTTCCGATAACTAGATCTATGTCCGACTCCTTTCTAATGAAAACGAGCAAAAGTAAAACGAGTCTCTCGTCGCGCGCTATAACGGGGTGTTTGCGGTATTGTCCTCTCTGGTGATGATAAGCTAGTCGATAGTCAAAAGTTAAATATCACCATATATTGTCAGTGAGTTGGTCATCGTTTGTTGATTATTAAAGTGAGATAGGTGTAGCCAATGTGCACCAATGAAAAATACAATGGAATTGATAGCAACCATATTCTTTCGGTTTTCGATCTGCATATGTTGCCACGTAGGCTACCATACTACAGAATTATATTTAACGATATTTAACTGTATTAGATCTATGTTAATAAACGTAGTGACAAATAAATTTCAATAAATATTAAGAGCTGTTTCAACTTCGTCTGGTATTGTATAAGCTATTGCATTTTGTTTATTTCTCCATGTTTCTAATCTTTGTAAATGTTAGAACATATATAACTATCCTGGCATATTAATATGGAAAATATTAAGGTAGATCTAAGTATTAAAAAAAATCACAGTTTTAATTAGGATAAATACCCCAAAGTGTTAACACTTTTATCACTTATTGGTGGGCCAATTCATAATTCATATTCAACATTCTTGCTTCAAATATGGGAACTATTTATTTTATTTGGCAATATATATTTTTCATTTATGTACATATTTTTCAAATAAGGTTTTAGAAACTTGGCCATGATATTCACTTGAATCACTAGTTTGAGTGTACAGCAGAAAGGTAAAGTTACTGCTTTTGAAAAACTACAGTTGATCTGTTGACTGATAAAACTATTTGCCAATATTACTATCAGTTACATCATACTCTATTAGTCTAAGTAAATGGGATTTATCTATACAGTACTGGTTTATTTAAGAATGTGATACTATGTGGTTTCTGTTTTTCTTTCAGGTGGAGAAAACAGTATTGTGGGAGCGTATTTGTTTAAAGTACATATCACTGACAGAAAGGTATGTCTGATTCAATAATATATACAAACATCTTCAAGAATTAAAATTTAGATGATTCTTATTTAATTATACCCACAATCTAAAAGGGCGGGGGTATAAAGTTACACCAATGATTCAGTGCTAAAAGCTTTTCTGCTTATGTATGATCCAAGAGCATTATGGTATTAGTGTCAGCGCCTTCGCACTTTCAGCAGTTTTTAACAGTTTAAAGACTGACATCAGACATCAAAACATTATTTTGGGGAATGCAACCGTTATTTTGTTATGTCAGAAATATGTCCCTTGCCTTGCCATTTTATAACATTTGTGTCATTTTTTATTCAGTTACCAAGGCATAAGGAGAGACTGAGGATACAGTTGAAGATCATCCCTGTGACTTTTCATTTTAGGACTGAAAAGGCTCCCCAGCAACTCAGCCCATGTTCTGACTTGTCATTTAACAAATAAATAAAGGTCACCTCAACCAGAATTCTATTGTCATTTCGTTTACATAATGGATCTTAGGACATCAGATGCATAGACTATTCTGTTTGCCACAGTGTTGCTCTCAATGCTGAATGTATGAGGTAAGGCCAAGAAAATTTAAATGTTTCAATTTGTGCAGGGCTTATTGTTTGATGGTTTTTAATTTGCAAATTCGTGGGAAAATCCAATATCTTTTAATTGTGTTGAAACATTTGTGAACAATTTGCACATAGCCTTGAAAATTGTTTTGGAAAATGAATATTATATGACCAAATTGTACATGTAATTTAAAACATTTAGATTTATATCTTGGCCGTATTTCAAACTCTGCCAAAAGAGAGTGCATTTCATTGACTTGCTGTTTCATGGATAGGGTTAAAGTGAATTCAGTTTGCAGAATGTATTTCTTGGTACCTGACGTCTTAACTAGATTGGTACAAACTTTTCAGGCTGCCTGGGAGGTATTGAGGAATAAAACAGGCGTTAATCTACATGGACATTGCAACAACGTGCTGCAATGCCTGTAGTGTCGCCATATGTAAACAGTATGCGATACCTACGTTGTCGCGACGTAAAAAATGGACATTGTGACAATGTCTTGATTTGGTTGTATTTTGGTTTACGCACAACGTTGTAGCAACCAATCTGGGAGTCTACAGAATTACGGTGTGACAACGTAACATCACAACGTTGTAGCAACGAAAAGTAAACGTTGTCACAACGTTGTAACAACGTAGAATTGTTGGCTGGGTACGTTGTCGCGACGTTTTGGTTAAACGTTGTAGCAACGTAAAAAATGGACGTTGTGACAACGTCTTGATTTGGTTGTATTTTGGTTTACGCACAAAGTTGTAGCAACCAATCTGGGAGTCTACAGATTTACGTTGTGACAACGTAACATCACAACGTTGTAGCAACGAAAAGTCAACGTTGTCACAACGTTGTCACAACGTAGAATTGTTTGCTGGGTACGGTACTTAGAGTACATGTGAGAATGCTATGGAATGACAAGAATAATCCAAATGGCAATAAATTACGCACATACAGAATGTACAAATCATCACCTACTGCTGAGCCTTATTTATGTCATGTACGTTTTAGAGATCATCGAAGACTTTTAGCATCCTTTCGATGTGGTATTTTACCTTTACATGTTGAGACCGGCCGCTACGCCAAGCCACCTACCCCACTGTTGGATAGGACTTGTAAATATTGTCACGCCAATCCTACTAATGATCATGTAAATTATGTTGAAGATGAATGTCACTTTTTAATAGAATGTCCATTTTATGATGATTTAAGATACAACTTAGCTAAAGAAGCAACTTCTGTAGATAAAACATTTCATTATATGAGTAGTTTAGAAAAGTTTATTTTTATTATGAACGAAGAATCGCTCCAATGTATTTTAGCCAAATCAATTTACAACATGGTTAAAAGAAGGCAATTTCATTTTAAGCCAAGTATGTATGTATGACTTGTATGTATGTATGTATGTATGTATGACGTGGTGTGTGGGCGGCGCAACGCGGTGGGGGGAGTTAAGGGGGAGCGCACTGTTTAACTAAGGACTTTCGAAGTCTGTTGCCCTGTATCCTGGCATACTGGTGCGCTCTTCACTGAAACCGCCCACGGCCGTGCTCCGCGCCTGCATCACGAGGTATGTATTTTTTATTCTGTTTCAACTGAATAGTTTTATGATTGATATGTTTTATAGTGTCTCGTAGGTCATATTTGGCCGGATGTTATATTTTACTGTTTTGTATATATCGTATTACGAAGTGTATATAACATGTGCCACTTTAATAAACAATATTCTCTCTTCTCTTCTCTTCTCTCTCTCTGTGAGATTATACTCAGGTTAGGGAGATGTTTAATCTATATAACGAGTTATTATTCTACCTAACAATGTATTTAATGACATGAATGCAAAACAAACTCAACGGTTGAAAGGTTTAATTGAAAAAACTACCCCTGGTCTTGCCTAATAAAACAACTGTAACCCGACACAGATCAAACACAACTTACAAACACAATCATAATCTGGTTAATCTCTATCACTCAGTATGACAGTATTGGGCAGCTCAGTAATTAGGAGGTAAGACCAAGCAGGTACACTGGTCACACTTGACTGGTCTGTCCGATGATTAAGTCATCTGACAATTGGGAGTGAACCATAGCAAGTACAGCTGGATTGTTGCTCCTTTTATAGGACCGATTAGTTTTATGACCACGGGCCTCGGCACAAGCGTGGTGCTACAAGACAAGATATAAATGTACATCCAATATGGTGACTGTTTTTCGCTATTGATATTCTAAATTCATTCATAATACCACAACATTTAAGTACTCCTTGAAACTTTACAATCACTTCAATATGTACAATAGATTAAACGAGAACAAATGATATATTGCAGATTATTAAGTCATTGTCTCTTTTATCAGCCGCTACGTTTGTATCTTTTGCATTGTACAAATAAATATTTTGTCTGTCCTTTTGCAGATTTAGCCCCAGAATGTGCTCATTCGAATTAGGAACGAAAATAATTGCTTATCATGAGTATATATGATACAGTTAAAAGTAAGTTGTACACTGTAGATGTATTCACTTTAAAGTCGTATACGACCTTCGCGAGCGAGTTATATGATCCAGGTTAATTGGAACGAAGTCTAGAAAGGATAATAAAGTTTTGTATTTGGTAATGTGTAGGTCTGTTAAATATGATTTTTTTTAATTCCTTTTATTCAAAATGTAAAACAAATAGTTATGCGCTGAAAAATAGAGCTGACTTGATAGAAGATATGGCGTTAGCCACCTGAGATTGTCTGGTGGACGCGGTTTAACATTACTGTGCCCTCACCCTGGTTGTTGTTGTCGTTGTTGGGAGCTACAGCTCATTGCATTTTTGGTTACAGTCTGTCTCACTAAAGTGGACATGTGCAGGTGAACTCTGTTCAATTTGTATATGAAATGCCCCAATATGTGAACTCAAGACAATAATAACCTGAGAGTAAATCCACGTGCGTCTGCCTTTCCCCTCGTTCACCGGAAATTCAGTGACAATAAGTTGCTGAACAGTTGAATCTGATGGACGTATTGTGCAGAACCTGCTTGACACTATTGGTTCCAGGACCACTAACACTGGGAAGAGTGGCACTCTGAGCTGAACAAAGTTTGGTCCTAACCGCCCCAACATCTACAAGTTTGTAAGCTTTTTGTCATCTTTAACAGTCCCATGCTGAGACCTTTCTCAAAATTCAGGCCGTTGGCAGGCTGCCAACAAAAAGAAGAAAATATCGCAACCTGGACACATGTGTGCTCAGTCAAACGATGAACTTACGACCGGCAGAAAACAACTCCAGTTGAGTATGCCAATGCTGTATCTCAACCGTGTTGGCCTGAAAACTTAACCATGTTAATTAATCCCATAATCGTATAATTATTTTTGATAGAAACCGTATCTTAGTTGCTTCTTGCACTGTATCATATCGTGTATTTCATCTGCATATGCATAATGTGTATATGTATAAATGACTACACTTTTACCGCATATTCTACAACAAACAATAATTAATCACCTTATTACTGTCTCTCCATTTACCATGGCTGACTGCACTAATACCCTTTTAACAGTGGACACCGATTTCAGTATACATGTAGGCTTTTTCTTTAAAAAGGAATATGCAGGAAATTATATGTAACAATAAACATGTTTGAATGTTATCAGTTTTGCGTTCTGAGATACAGTGATGTAAGCATCTTCTACAATTAACAATACATAATGGTCACATAATGTATATGATAAAATACAGAACTCTTTGCCGGAATGTTTCGTGGAAATCATTCGATCAAGTATAAATGACTGCGTGACAAGACAAATCAACTCTTTATACTCGATGAAAGAAACTGGCTTAATATAGGAACAGTGCTATATAAGGACATTTGAAATTTCTAACCAAGCAGATACATTAGAGACAGTGACTAGACTACATTTACGTAATCCGTATCAATCAAAGGTGTAAAATAACTGACATTCATATCTGTCGGAGACCAACCAAATTTACCAAGAATTATTATTACTATATTTATTACAATGCAAATACTTTAGTGATTCATTTTTCAGAGGAGAGGGCATACATACAAGTATTTTGCTTCCGTGTGTGAATGCAGGTAATACTTGGGATCTCAGTTCTCAGTTTTATACCGGATGTATATCTGAATTTGTATATGGAACCATGCGTACAGCATGACAATTACTTGCTAGTCGTCAGTCTACAACGCACATAACACGGTCAAATAATTTTGGGCACCACTTTTGCAAGTTATTTATTACAATGTGTTTTATTAAAATCTATTTCAATTTGTTTTCACCATTTTCCCTATTCCATTCCATGCATGTTTATGTTGCTACATCTTATTGCTCATGTTCCCAAGTATTACAAAACACTTTAATGTCTCTCCTTCCTAATCTAACGTTACAACATTTCAGGTCATTACCATCGTCAAATACACAAGAGATTATACCAAGACATATTTAATTCGGTTTTATGGTCTATGCGGTCTTACAGTTGATTTTATTAGTCTATAAATCTTATGTCTAGTACATATTTTCACAAACAGGGCTATTTGCTGATATAAGGAAGGTAACATCCAGTTGAATTCCCAGTTGACGTATTTACTTTTTTTTATCAAATATGAGTACTGTATGCCATATACGTCAGTCTCTCAACGACGTTTCTACAATTAATATTTTGAATAAGCCGTTGATATGCCAGTTGTGACAGGGATGATGGTATGGTAGCTGTAGCAGACAGATTGACAGTCGTTGTTACGTGCGTCACAAGGTAATGAGTATGGCATTGACCTTGTTGATTGTAACTTTACTTTGAGGATTACCTCTGTGGCCAGTGGCGGACGTTTTTTAAACTCCTTACACACTGACACTGCATCAAATATATTTGTGTACCGATTACATAACTCTTACGGACAGGATGGGGAGGTAGTTCACCGGAGGACACTGTATATATTGGGCGGCTTCTTTGATATCTCCTCCAAACATACTTGTATTGAATGACCCATTAAACGATGATACACATTTTGTTGAATTTATCAAGGCACTAATTCATCTTTCATAAACTTTTTTTGTCTTTGTGCTTAATATATCCACATATCAATGAAAATATGTAATACATGTATCCACAAAAGAATATACATATACAGGCTCGGTATTTGCCCACGGCAACACCTGCATAACTGTTTATTCAAGCGTGGTGTGGTAGATCATAATTGACCGAGAGCAGGTATTGTAGAATCACCCGTAAATAATGCCGACACTGTAATAAGATACAACGTACTAATGAGAATATGAGAATTATCATAAAAAGGCTGGTTTTTTTCTGAACTGTTACCATTTTCATACCAAAAGTGACAATGCATTTAAAAGTTGCTATAGTGTCATAATATTCACTCAATCGCCTGTAAACATCGCACCGCATATAATGACATATTTTTTTCGAGATTTCGTTAGAATGTGAGATATTCAGCTAGACGTTATGCAATGAAAGACGAATCGTTTTTTTCCCCATTAAAATACGCGCACGTGAACCTGTATATTGCATATCTATTGTCACTTAATTTCCCAGTGTGATGTATTAACAAGACATAAAATGGGAAGTGAAAAAGAAACAAACTAAACTTTAATTTGTTGAAAAATAACGGCAATGAATTGGTGTACACGCGCATGAATTTGTATGATAAACTGTCAAAACGTTTTGAGAGATAAGGCCGGGGTCATTAACGATCGTTGCAATATGTTAAAAAGGTGAAATTTGTAAACCTTCTGCAAAGGAAACATCCAACCAAGGACCCTTTTAAAATAGTACTGTAATGATAAATACAAAGTGTGTTTCACATGATACAATATACTTTGTAAACAATTAGTTAATTCTTTAAAGGGACTGACGAAAACATTGGCGAAATATTTTAATAACGCCAAAAGTTACTTGAATTAAGTTAAAATGAGTTGAATCATGTGTCATGCTTATAATCCCTTATGGGGCGGTCGGGTAGCCTAGTGGTTAAAGCGTTTGCTCGTCACGCCGAAGACCCGGGTTCGATTCCCGACATGGGTACAATGTGTGAAGCCCATTTCTGGTGTCCCCCGCCGTGATATTGCTGGAATATTGCTAAAAGCGGCGTTAAACCATACTCACTCACCATAATCCCTTAATGTATTTGCGAAACTAAAACTGCTGAGCAAAGGAAAATATGCTCGCCCATGGGTCAAACCAATATTCTCGCCCATGGGCGAAATATTTCAATATCGCTATAAAATCGTTGAATTAAGTTTAAATGAGTTCAATATTGTGTATGATACTTAAAGGAATACATCTATGTATTTGCGAAACAAAAACATGAGTTTTTTGTAAAGGAAAATATTCTCGCCCATGGGCCAAACTTCGCTTGAGTATTTTAACTTTTTTTTCATTTTTTCTTCCTTAGTATGTTCCCATGAAAACAGCATGCTAATTTTTGTAAATATCTTTGACCGAGACTGGGAAAAGTCCGTAGAGTTTCTGGACTTTTGGGTTTCCAGAATTAAAATGGGACGTGTTTGGTTAAATTATTGAATTACTGTTATCCTTTTTTATTTTCTTTGTGGTATGAGAGTTAAGATATCCCTAGGCGCTTGGCCTTAAATGTCTCGTTATTAAATGAATAGTCCTCATCGTCACGATATGGTAGAAATATTGCTGATATGACGTCAAACCTTAACTCTCTCACTCACTATAGTAGTCAGCCTCTGGTGTGTTACAAAATAAATCGATTTTGCATTGACAATTTTCTGAGGTTATCCTTCAGTTATGAATCTTAGGCTTAACGGTAGCCCTTGAATGATTGTGTGTTCTTATGGCCTGTCTCTTTGGACGTCGACTTAAATAAGCAGCATATCTAACATTTGTAACAATGAGTCAAAAACAATGTGGCAGATATACCGAACCACATTAAAAACTTCACAATCCTAAAATTTTAACATTTTGAGCAGTTATCATTGTGGGCCCTTATTGTGTATTGAAACAGTAATGGCCACGTATTGTCTTCAGATAACACCCGTTTTTGTGCAGGTGAATCGATCAAAATCATGTGCACAGCACTAAAGTTGCAACAGTGTTTTTTTCACGTGCAACTGGTCAATATGCCAGATACATTATGTGTATGAATGTGTATTGCTTTAATTTTAGCTTTGGCCATAGTCGGGTCAGAATGTGAGCTGGACGTGGACTGTGCCTCCCTCACTAACTCCCACTGTAACAAGGGGGTCTGCAGGTGTGACGCGGGCTACGGGTCGGACGGAGACACCTGCCGCGTCCTCACAGGTACATGGAATGAAAGGGAGATATGTTGTTTTATCGCTCCCCTGTACATGAGTATGTAACGTGAATCAGTGTGTGGATGGTTTAGTTAGTAACGTGAAACGGTGTTTGGGATGGTTAAGTTAATAACGTGAATCAGTGTTTTGTGTGGTTTAGTTAATAACGTGAATCAGTGTGAGGATGGTTTAGTTAGTAACGTGAATAAATGGGTGGAGGACTGAGTGACGTGACGTGAATCAGTGTGTGGATGGTTTAGTTAGTAACGTGAATCAGGGTGTGGATGGTTTAGTTAGTAACGTGAATCAGGGTGTGGATGGTTTTGTTAGTAACGTGAATCAATGGGTGGAGGACTGAGTGACGTGACGTGAATCAGTGTGTGGATGGTTTAGTTAGTAAAGTGAATCAGTGTGTGGATGGTTTAGTTAGTAACGTGTATCAGTGTGTGGATGGTTTAGTTAGTAACGTGAATCAGTGGGTTAATGATTGAGTGACATGACGTCAATCAGTGTGTGGATGGTTTAGTTAGTAACGGGAATCAGTGGGTTAATGTTTGAGTGACATGACGTAAATCAGTGTGTGGATGGTTTAGTTAGTCACGTGAATCAGTGGGTTGAGGATTGAGTGACGTGACCTGAATCAGTGTGTGGATGGTTTAGTTAGTAAAGTGAATCAGTCTGTGGATTGTTTAGTTAGTAACGTGAATCAGTGGGTTGACAGCAATTTCAATGAACCTTAGTAATCAGAATTAAGCAACTCTTGCTGGGGAACATGTACGATGAGTTGAATGTAGATTTGGTTCTTATTCCAAATACACGTCTTCGGGTTTCCCTCCGACATTAAGTTGACACTAAGCTTTATCTTTATCGTGAATTAAGTGTATTGTGTTTCTTATTTCAGAATGCTCCACCTTCAGTGATAACTTTACCCTGTACAGGTCGTTTGCCATCGTGGGCTACGACTTCCTCAGCCAAGGAGCATCTACCTACGAATCCTGCCCTGCGTACTGTATCAGCGACAACAGGTGTAAGTCGGCTGACTTGGACTTTGTTGGTAAAATCTGCTACCTGAATACGTACACGTGGCTGGGAGCGCCTGCATCGACGCTTGTTAAGGACAGCCCAATATTTGATTTCTTCCAGCGAGAGTGCCTTTGGTAACTCACCTGAAGTTCATTAACGAAATACTCCATAGCAGAGTTTTTTAATGTGATGAAAGATGTAATATTATCCCGAAAATAATGTAATTTCAAATACAGGATCTCTTGAAAACGATGTTTTGTGAAATGAAAACGATTGTTCAAAAATGAATTGTCCAAAATAGCCTGAAACAAAAATTCAAAACAAATGGTCGGTGCTTTGTTCTTCACATAAATATTAAAAATAGAGCTAATTATATTGTGTAAATATGAAAGACAAATACAGTCAAAACCTACTGTAGAAAAATATTCGGGATTAGATACATGGTTTGATTTATCGGGTGTTGGATACATCCGAATCAACATTTATCTATCCAAGTAATGAAACAACAACTGCAAAGCGCAAACTTTCTGAATCTTGCATGCTAGGTAAATGACTGTTGTATAATAAGTAATTAAGGAGAAGAAACTGGCATATCTACGCCAATGTGTATATATGCATTTATTCAACTTACACAAATTCTAACTTACCTGAGTAGGTTATTAGAAACTTTTACTCTGGGAAATTTACACCTATACTTGACACATCTTTGCTGCAAGTTTGTCGTGACAGTGAGGTTTGTTTGTCCGACCGTTATCCAAAGCCATCGAAATTGGTTCTGGCTAGAAGTCTTTTGACGTTTAGTAAGAGACTGAAGTCTAACAGATTTAGATCAGGAATATAAGTAGTTCAAAGCAACACTCATGGATTGTAGCCACTGAAACGACTGCTTTGTGCACTGGGGCATTGTCCTGACAGAAGAGCACAACCTTTTGCGGCTTCTCACGTCTAATGTCTCAAAATTGAAGCATGACAGAACACGAAGGCAATACTGATTCCAGTTAATGTGACAATCTTTGCCATCTCTGGTAGTGGAGATGTCAAATGCTTCCAATGTGTTGATTTTTCTGTCGTCATCCATTATCACAATACGTTGCAATAACCTTTCTGGGTCAGCTTCAAACAGAACTGAATTATCTGCATTGATACATATTTGTTACACTACTATACATTAATGTATAATCGTTACCACCCAACTACACTGATACATGATCGTTACATCCTACTGATGTGATATTTAAAAGTGATACATACTATTAACAATTGGAAATTGGATAACATTTTACCAACATTTTATCACCTTACTTGCTACAAAAGAAATATTACACAACAACGTACCATTTTCCAGTATCTTAAACTAGCCAATGGTCAAATTGATAACACACATCAGACATGATCCATGACCAGTATCTCTTATTGTGCTGGTCAGATAGAGTAAGACAAAAACACTTAGGAACTAGAGACCATTATCTGTATGTACAGCTTTGTTTATCATCCATCCTTATTAAATCAAAGGTACCGGATACTCAAAAAGTACCATACTAACTGGACAGCTATCCTTCTTCAAACTAAACTTCACCCATAAACACAGTTATCGTTAATGCCTTCCTCAAACTAAATCATTTTATTTCGCCACTTTACTCAGAAAATAACGTTATCTGAAGTAGCTAAAACAGGTATAAATTAGGGACGACAGTCGGTCAAACATCACTCTGTGGCTGTCACTGTTTAAAATAAATATGAAACTAGCTGTTTTTTAACTGTTTTTTTACTCAAGGAAGAAACGTTGCTAGTTTGTACTATGTTAAATCCTAATTATATTCTATTACCCTTGGCAGGACCTGTAGGTGTGTGGTAATTGGAACATGTCCCACTTTGTATAGTTTAGACACTCTCGTTGCTGTTGCTGTGAGTAGAGTATGTCCATTCTGTTTAACCCTCTTGCGTTGTGTACCTTTGAATATGTATGGTAACATACATATACGTTGTCCTGTGTGAATCCCCACTCGGGTAATGTGTTTGTTCGAGTGTGTAGGGCATACTGTAAAACGTGACATTAACACGAGCGTGATACATGCGGGTGGTCTTTGCTCGCATTATAAAACATCGCATTTATATCAACAAAAACACATTTTGGATAGCAGAAATACCAACTTAGACATACGCTGAAAACAAACAACTATGTATTCCACATCTTTGTTTATTGAGCAGCACTTGTAACAAGAACATAAACAATGTCATTCAAACACTAATTACATTAGGTGAATTGATACTGCTGGAGTGAAGACAAGCGTTCTACTCACTCATGTCATCACTTATCACACCCGCAAGTCCAGACAGACGCCACCCAACACGTGTCTTTGCTCTTTGCGACTGCATCAAAGGCCGACACGAGCCAGCGCGCACGTATTGTTTTAGCTGAAGTAGTCTACTCAGCGCTAATAAGCGGTGCTTTTTGGTGTATTGCTGGATTAATGTAAGGTTGGATTAAGGTGAGGATTCTCCTGTACACCTGACAGAGGACGTTTTGTTTAGAGATAAATCCACTGATGCTTGAGAGGAGGGGTGCTTTCGACATGGTATGGCACGATGGGCTAATACAAAAACTTTAAAAAATAGGACTCAAAGGTCAGATAATAAACTACATCCAGGACTTCATAAACAATCGTAAAATAACCGTGGGTATAGACCAAACTCTATCGGGCCAATGTCCCCTAGAAAATGGCACTCCACAGGGCAGTATCCTCAGCCCCACCCTCTTCAATATAATGATAAACGATCTATTCGAGGGCCTATCCCCTAAAGTAAACACATCAAAAATCGCGGATGATGGAGCCATCTGGTTCCGCACTAAAAGCATGAAAATGGCCCAAAATTTATTCCAAAAATCTCTGAATAAAATACAACAATGGGCTGACAAATGGGGCTTCTCCCTTAACTCAGAAAAAACAACAGGAATAGTATTCAAACATAAAAACATGAAACCCGCCTCCCCAATCCTCCAGCTAAACAATCAAACAGTTGAATTTCAAAAACAAACCAAATTCTTAGGACTTATTTTCGATGAACATCTCACCTGGAATGCTCACATCCAAAACCTAACAACTAAATGCAGTAAAGACCTAATCACCCTAAGATGCCTAACTGGCTCTAACTGGGGAGCCTCCAAAGATACCCTCCTCTCTCTCGACATATCACTAACTAGATCAAAACTAGACTACGGCTGCGCCATATACAACACCCTAAACAACTCTCTATCTAAAAGAACTTGACTCAATACAATATCAGGCTCTCAAACTAATTACACGCACCCGACATGGCACCTCCTATACCTCACTTCAGGCCTTAACAGGAGAATGCTACTAAGTCTACGCAGGAAACAGCTTAGCTTAAATTTCTGGGCCGCGTCCCAATCAAACCCTCTCATCCAAAACCTAATAAACCAAAACATGAACACCAAATTAAAAATCTGAAACAAAACTGCAAACAATCAAATATCTTCACCCCTAAACTTAAAATACCAAAAATAGACACAACACTAGCTAGCCAAATAAATAAACAAACCGACACAAACATAGCTAAAACTACCACACTAGCATACATACACGACAATTGGCCAAATTGGTGTCACATTTACACGGACGGATCCTCAGATCCGACCTCCAAACACACAGGTTTCGGAGTCCATACCACACAACCAACTAAAACCACACAATCCTTTCGACTCCCAAACAACCATTCAATATTCACGGCAGAACTAATGGGCATGGCCTCAGCCCTACATAATCAAGAATAAAAAAAACACAAAAAAATCCTAATACTTACCGACTCCCTAAGTGGACTGCAAGCCCTCTAAAACAAAAATACCAAAAACCATCCTAAATTAATAAATCAAATACTTTAAAGCTCCAACGACCTAACTAAGGCAGGCAATCAAATAACCTTCTTGTGGATACCGGCCCACGTAGGAATATACGGTAATGAAAACGCCGATAAAGCAGCTAAACTATCCCTCAAAATCCCAGAAATAAGCTTTAACTTACCCATCTCAAAATCAGAAACTAAAAGTGTAAACAAGCAAAAAATCACAAAAATGGCATAACCTACATCTTAACTTAAATAGTCAAATAAAAAAAGTGCTCAGCAAACCACTAACCAAACCAAAAATTCTCCATCCATCAAAAAAAATCGACAGAGTAATCACTAAACTCCAAACAGGACACACCAGCCTAAATAACCACCTAAAAATTTTAAAAAAACCACACTACAGGTAACTGCCCACACCGCAAACAACTAGAAACCCCAGAACACGCACTCATCCACTGCACACACTACCTAACACAACGAACCGCATTACAAACCACCCTCAATGTAAACAAGGCTCTCACTCTAGAAGCAATACTAAACCCACAAAATAAACTAGAAAACTTCAAGGCCTTAGGCGTATTCTTAATCAAAACGGAACTAATAAAACGCATCTAAAAACTCAAAAGCCTACCAAATCAAAATCACATAAACAAACAAACATCCATCATACCCAGCTCCCTTAGTTCTCCTCCCCAACCCCATCGGCATCTATTCCAAATTTCAAAATTCCCAAATTCTATATAAGCAACCCCTAAAGCCCCCTCTTGGGTTGCACACACCACTTTCGCCCCTTTCGGAAACACATTAAATAGCCTGTCCGGGCCCGTGTGCAAAATTCGCATCAGTCGGAAAGCGCACGTTAAATCTCCAAAGTAAGTAAGTAAGAGGAGGGGGTGTTGCATTCATATTGAGTCGCATTTTTGGCTAGGGGCCAGCGGTCGCATTCCATTGGAGACGCATTAATTTCACGTTTTACAGTATTATATTCCACCATATGCACATTGTTGTAAGTTGAATAATAATGATCCTTCTTCATCATATTCATCTGGTGTGTTAGTACATGTACACCCTTCAAATAAAGAAACGCACAGGTAGATTTTTAGTGAATTTATTGTACCTTATAAAGTCTATATATTTAATGTAATATAATAGATACAAAAAATGAAATTTTGGAGCTCGATAGTCACACGTTGTCGTTGTACAAAGGGAATGAAAACTGTTCATTGTCATGTTACATAAGGCCATAAGGTGGCGCTGAACACGTATGACCGCCCCAGAAAGCAACCACGGCTCTGCATCTCCTCGGCACTGACTAGATAAGTGTACGAACTCTATCCTGCGGAATTCTGCACCATTCTGTTTGCAACGCATTGGCCAGTTGTTGGAGTGTCTGTGGTGTGTTCTGGCATAGACGTAAACGTCGATCGAGTTCATCCCAGAGTTGTTCGATTGGGTTGAGATATTGAGATGTCGACGACCAGGACAAACGATGATGTTGGCATTATGAAGGTAGTCTACCGTGACACGAGCTGTTTGTAATGGAGCGTTGTCCTGTGGAAACAGCTCCCTCTGGCGGTCAATGATTGGAAGAAGGTCAGGTTGAAGAATTTGATTCATGTAGTAATAAGCTGTCAAATTTCCCTGAACTACAACCATGTTAGATCTCATGGTGTAGGACATAGCCCCTCCAACCATGACATGACCGCCACCGAAATTGTCGAAGCAAAACGCTCATTTCAACGACGATAGACAGGTTGTTCTGCAATGTTTGACAAGCTGTTGTTTTGATGTCTAACGTACACAATCTTTCAATGGATAAAAGGCAGCCATTGTTAAAAAGATCGATGTTTTCATACCCACGGCTTAATCTAAAAAAGGCATCATTAATAAAAAAGCATACCTCATTTTATCCAGTCATAATCAAGCAATCTTCAATGTCATGTTAGAATACTTCTTAATCTTACAACTAGTTACAATGAGGTGTCTGTAAAGTTACATAATATTATGTTCCGAATATTTGACGACGAAAGTGCATGACGAAAGCATGCTTGATAAATGCTATTTTGCGCGATATGTACGTTATACACCATCTCTTGCTACTGTCTTATTATAACCCGTGTCCCTGGGGGTGGGTTGTTTTAGTTCGCGATTGTCAGTACCAAGTTACCATGCAGAATGTAAACGAATACAACCGCCTCTGTACGAATCTCGCTACAAATGAATACGTCATTAGATATATTTATTAAGAGTTTATTGATTCTGAATGGCCTAAATGGTTAATGGTGAAGCTACATTAAGCCGAACGCAGTGGTGGGGATCCCGGGATAGAATAGGCCCCAAGTGACCTCAGCTTGTGGTAAGAGGCGATTATGTGGTTCAAGTGTTCAGGCTATTTGACTTGAATGTGTGTCATCGAACATGACTGGGTGGGGTTGTGGTGTCGGGGACGGGGTGCCTTGGTAGGGAGCCGGGTGTTGGGTGCCATGGGTGGGTGGTGGGCATATAGTTTGTCACTAGTTTGTCTGGCCCAGATTGGATTATTTGTCATATAGCTGAATACTGCAGCACCAAACAACCAACATGCACTCAAACATTGTTGACTGCCGTTGTGTTTTTCCCGTACTTATCAGGAATGTCGCTGGCAAAGGCAAGACAATAAACAAAAGAGTTCCGATCTTATTTAACCAGTGGCGATTCATAACGCAAAGAGTGCACATCGGTTTTTACTTTTATGCCTCCGTAAACAGAAACAAGTATTGAAGTCAATTCTTATAAAGTGAACAGTCATAATATTCCTGACTACTTATTTAATTAACACAAAAATATTGTAGACAGCGACACGAAATCAGTGACATTGATCCAAACAATAAGTCAAAGCAAGCAACACCAACTCTATTATCAGCTACTCAGGAAGCAGTCGTTCGCCAATGCGCGTGGCCGATTATATTATAGGTTTTTGGAACATGACATCACTTGAAATGTTTTTATGAGGAGTTGAATGGTTACAGAAGCTGACCACATGGAACATCACCTGAATTGGTGATTGGATGCGAGGAGGCCTTTTATGCATTCATATCCTTTGTTAGTCTGTTTGTTGTTTAAAGCCGTACTCAGGGTTATTCAAGCTATATGACGGCAGTCTGCAAATAATCGATCCTGGACCAGACAATCCAGTGATTGATATAATAAACATCGATCCACGCAATTGGGATCGATGACATGCACAAACCAAGTCAGCGAGCCTGACCAACCGACCCCGTGAGTCGCCTCTTACGACAAGCATAGTCGCCTTTTATGGCACACATGGGATGCTGAAGACCTATTCTACCTCGTATCTTCACGCATTCATGCGCACATCCCAATGGAAAATTAACTTCGTATTTCACATGCTGTCACACACAATGAATTCGAATCATTAGCACGCAGATTATAACGGCGTGAATATATAT